TTTGGCTAAAAGAAAATTTGGATTTCAAACCTTCGCATTGAAAATCACTCTAAATCGTCTGAATGCATTGGCTTGCTCTAAGCCCATTCTACTGAATAAACTGGGTTTGCTTTTTCATAGTGGAGGATCTTCGAACACTTGAGGGCTTTGTAGGTCAAAAAGTTGGTGCCAAGAGGAGACCTTCCCAAGCAAAGCTTCCACAATCCAGTATTTCATTATAAATCGGACCATTAGAGCCAAGAAGAAGTGACTCAAAGAGACCACATATCACAAAAGCCTGATGCAATTATTTACATAGCAATTTATTAGTTTATGATCAGGATAGTGGTTTGAGACCATATAATACCAATGTCCCCCATCCAAGAAAGCCACTCCCCTGTGCCAGAAGACAATTCATCAGCCAGTAGCTTGGTGGCATGGAGTCAGTCTTGAGGACCACTTCACTAGGCCATGATGAGGTCTGACAGATCACTGCCCCAGTGACCCAACTCATTGTACCGAATGTAGCATTTGCCAACCTCTGCATGTTTGAGCTTCTCTTTTCTAGGGACCCAAATGACCATGCCTCTGAAGGACCCATCATCTGTATCTGGTCCACACCATCTATAACTGGTCTACTTGATGAGAAATCTACTTAATCAGTTATAATCATAATGCCATCCTGCCTTCCTGAAGTTTCGCTGGGTCACCATGATGAAAATTTGTGATCCCCAATTGTTCAGATGTTCCTTCATGTCCTACCCCCATGAGTAGCTAATCTCATCCTTCCTGTACAAGGTTGACTAGTTAACCCACAGAAACAGCCATATTTCCATAGTGGTCAAGGTCTTGATAGATCTCATAGATACTATCAACTATTACCTGGAGGGGTACTCACTGGAACCATGAATTTATGATAGTGGCAAAAGAAAACATGGAGGGCTTAGAATGAATCAATACTGACCTCAACACATACTTAGGAAACAGATTCCTGCCATGGGTTTGACACATTGCTTTGTCTTTGAAAACTCAAGACAATGTTTTTGTTAATCCAGACATTCAGTGACGATGGCAGATTGAGTTTTGAAGATGCTACTTCTATGAAGGACACACACAGTTTGATAGAATTCTACTATTTCTCTACGTCACCTTTTATACATTTGCCTCTCTGGCTCTTATGTAATTACATGAAGTATCTCTGCTCTTATTTTCTGCCTGTATCTGCTTCTGGCTGTGGCAATTTCTCCTGTCTCTATTTGTTATTCTTCTCTTTGTGCTTTAATGATTCTGATGGGCATCTGTCACAATCCCTCCCTTATTTTTTCCCTATCTCTAGTCTTTCTTTCTTCTTCTCTTCATCTATTTCCTCCTTTTCCTTGTTCCTTCCTTTGGATGTTTTTGTCTGTCTGTTTGGTGTTCTGTTTCTTCTTCTTCTTTTTTTTAAGATTTTATCTTTTTAATTTTTTTAAAAGATTTTATTTATTTGACAGAGAGAGAGAGATCACAAGTAGGCAGAGAGAGAGGAGGAAGCAGGCAGAGAGCCCAATGCAGGGCTTGATCCCAGGACCCTGAGATCATGACCCGAGCCGAAGGCAGAGGCTTTAACCCACTGAGCCACCCAGATGCCCCAAGATTTTATCTTTTTAATGTAATCTCTACACCCAACATGGGGCTCAAACTCACAACCCTGAGATCACACATGCTCTATCGACTGAGCCAGCCAGGTGTCCTCTTCCTTTGGATGTTTATTTAATCAGTTGTCAACCCCCCCCCCCCCAACTCTTCTTTCCCTCTCTGTGGTTCTCAGTCCCTTTGCCCATTCTTCCATCTCAATTGACATCAGGGATGTCAATTCTGACTTTTCTTCATCTTCCTACCAGTCTCTGCCTATCAGTTCCTGTCAGGCTGTCTTTGTATATTGCACTGTAGCTGTTTGTCCTTTGTCTTTCTGCATGTCTCCAACTCAACATATTTCCTACTTTCTTTTTCTGCCAGTGAATCTTCCCTTTGAGTGCCTCCTCCACCTTCTGTTCTTCTGCTTCTCAGCTCCCCTAACTCCCCTCATCTCTATTTCCCCCTCTCTCTTGCTCTGCCAATCTTTCTAAATGCCTCTCTTACCTCCATCTCTCCTGAGTCTAGTTGTTCCTTCTTGTCACTCTGTTTCTTTGTCTAGACCATCTGTGCCTTGTATCCTTGGGGTCCCTTCCTGTCAGCTTTTTTTTTTTCTATTTTTCTGTACTGATTATTCTATATTGAATAATCTATATAGAATAAATATAATATATTCTATACTATATTTTTCTATACTGAAGACTATATACTGATGTTTATGACCATTTTACCAGTTCCATGACTTTGGTTCCTGTTGGCATCCACGACACTTTCTTAACATTTCTGCCGAGGATTCCCTCTCATGCCCTCTGTCTCTCTTCACATCTGTCTCTTCGATACAGGTGGTCCTTCTCTTTCTTTTAATCCGTCCCTCAATCTATGTGTGTCTATTTCTAAAGATTTTTTAAAAATTTATTTATTTGAAAGACAGAGATCACAAGTAGGCAGAGAGGCAGGCAGAGAGAGAGGAAGGGAAGCAGACTCGCTGCTGAGCAGAGAGCCTGATGTGGGGCTGGATCCCAAGACCCTGGGATCATGATCTGAGCCAAAGGCAGAGGCTTTAACCCACTGAACCACCCGGGCACTCCTGTGTGTCTATTTCTATCATCCCTTTTGTCTTTCTCTAGCTCAGCTTTTGGCCAGGATTTTTTGTTTTCATCTTCCTGTCTCTTGCTTTTGCTCATGTATCTTTTCTGTGGACAATTAAGGGTTATCTCTTTCTATCTGTTGTTTAGTAGAACAGCAATCTGAATCTTCTTTACACTTCCTATAACCTGGCTGTTCTGCCTGAAGAAAGGAAAGATTTTGCGCCACAGTTAAAAAGAAAGAAAGAGGGGCGCCTGGGTGGCTCAGTGGGTTGAGGCCTCTGCCTTCGGCTCGGGTCGTGGTCCCGGGGTCCTGGGATCAGGCCCTGTATCGGGCTCTCTGCTTGGCGGGGAGCCTGCTTCCCTTCCTCTCTCTCTGCCTGCTTGAGATCTCTGTCAAGTGAATAAATAAAATCTTTAAAAGAAAAAAAAAAAGGAAAGAAAAGAAGAAAGACAGACAGCAGAAGTGGTAGGGGAGAGGGGCACCTGGGTGACTCAGTCAGTTAAGTGTCAGACTCTTGGTTTTGGCTCACGTCATGATCTCAGGGTAGTGAGATCCAGCCTGGCATTGGGTGTGGAGCTTACTTAAAAATAAAATTAGGGGCTGGGGCGCCGGGGTGGCTCAGTGGGTTAAAGCCTCTGCCTTTGGCTCAGGTCATGATCTCAGAGTCCTGGGATCGAGCCCCACATCGGGCTCTCTGCTCAGCAGGGAGCCTGCTTCCTCCTCTCTCTCTGCCTGCCTCTCTGCCTACTTGTAATCTCTGTTAAATTAAAAAAATAATAATAAATAAATAAGTAAAATTAGGGGCACCTGAGTGGCTCAGTGGGTTAAGCCTCTGCCTTCGGCTCGGGTCATGATCTCAGGGTCCTGGGATCGAGCCCCACATCGGGCTCTCTGCTCAGCGGTGAGCCTGCTTCCTCCTCTCTCTGCCTGCCTCTCTGCCTACTTGTGATCTCTCTCTCTCTCTCTCTGTCAAATAAATAAATAAAATTAAAAAAAAAATTAAAGGGGTGCCTGGTGGCTCACTTATTAAGCATCTGCCTTCAGCTCAGGTCATGATCCCAGGGTCCTGGGGTTGAGCCCCCATCAGGCTCCCTGTTCAGCGGGAAGCCTGCTTCTCACTCTTCCACTCCCCCAGCTTGTGCTCCCTCTCTCACTATGTCTCTGTCAAATAAATAAAAATAAAATCTTAAAAAAATTAAATTTAATTAAAAAAAATTTTTTTCCCTGTCTCTTAAGTGAGATAAGAGAATGAGAACTGGGTGGTAATAAATTACCCTAGGGGCATCAGGGTGGCTCAGTCAGTTAAGAAGCCGACTCTTAGGTTTGTGAAATGGAGCCTGCTTAAGATTCTCTCATCCCCCTCTTAAAAAAAAAAATAAAAAAACAAATGGCAGGGGAGAAAAGAGAGGGAGAGCTTGCAAATGAATCCTAGAAGAGAGTTAGATATTCCTTAATCCCTCTGCAGCCAAGTGAAAGCCTCCCTTTGTCCTTCTGCCTGTCTTCATTCTTCCATGAAGGCCTGGGCCTTGGAAAACGCTACACTTGGCACCCAGACCTAGTCCCATGCTCATTCCTTTAAGAAGCTGCATTTTCTTTGAAGAGGTCAGAGGATAGTAAGAAAATTTAAAAGGCAGATGCTGGGCTTTTTAAAAATTTAAAAGGCAGTAGGGCTCGCGTTAAGTACAAACACGGTAGTGTGGCTTCAAGAACCAGAAGTATCAGCAGTGACTGTAGTGGACCAGTTCTTCTGTTTCTTGGCCACTAGTATGTCCATCCCTACTGGCTACAAATAGCACCTGTTGTGGCCTCCTCCGCCGCCTGGAATTTGGTCACAGGTGAGGTCTCTCTTCCCTCTGAACCCACCCCCTCCACATCAGATCTCTCTGGTCCTAATAAGACCTCACCTTGGGGGGCGCCTGGGTGGCTCAGTTGGTTCAATGTCTGCCTTCAGCTGGGGTTGTGATCCCAGGATCGGGCCCCCTGTTGGGCTGCTCTCCCTCTGCCTACCACTCCCCTTGCTTGTGCTCTCTCTCTCTGTGCCAAGTAAATAAATAACAATTCTTAAAAAAAAAAAAAAAAAAAAAAAGACCTCTCCTTCCTTTACCTGTTCCTGTGCTAAAAGCGGAGGATGCCATTGGCAGTTTCACCTAGCTTCATGCCTCCTTCTTCCCCTTATTGGCAGCACTGGCTGTACCTCCAGAAGTTTGCTGGAAGAAGCAGTCATCTGATGATGGAATTCACTGAACAATAGCCCAGTTTCCCACCCATCCAAGAACATCAGCATTTCTTCTCAGATCCTAGGAATGGGGGAGGGGTGTGAGTTACTTGGAAGAGGGACTGAGATACTGAAAATTCAGCCCAGTCCTTACCCCACAATGGACTGGACACTGTAGACCACGATCTCCCCGTCCTGTCCCTAGCTGCCCCAGGCCTGGCAGAAGAGGAGCCTGAGGCCTCTCTCTAGTCTTTCAGGAGGAGAGTGGCATCGTCCCTGGCGACAAGCTCACCATCACGACACCTCCTTGTGCCCCCAGTTTCCTTGTGCCCCGGGATGGGTGGGCGGGGCCGAGCCCGCAGGACATCATTGACCAAAATACGTACGCCCAGTGTGATGCTTATGGCACCCACAGTGACCAGCCCAGTTCCACTAAGGATGACCAGAGGGGGAAGAACCTGGTGTTGCTGCCGGATTAGCCACAGACTCATCCAGCCCAGAGGCACTAGGCGGAAGAGGGCCAGGGTGGCCAGGGTGGCCCAGCTGGCCACGCTGAAGGCCAGGGATGGGGCCTGGTGAGAAAGCAGCAGCAGTTTCCGTAGGTGCAGGCAGACAGAGTTCAGCTCCAGGAGCAGAGACACCACACAGAGGCCCACGTACTGGTTGGACAGAATGGCAGTGCTGAGGCAGCTCACAACCTGGGGAACAGGGGTCAGAGGTCAGAGGACCTTCCATGATCTTCTGCCCACCACATACCAACAAACCAGGCCTTATTAAGACAGGGGCTCACAAGGATTTTGTGGCACCCTATCAAGAACTTGCCCTTTATAGTTGCCCTTATGTTGGTGCCTGAATGGCCTTAAAATAACCCTTCCACAGAATCGAAGCAGCCTTGGCCCTGAGGCTATATCCCCTGGGGCAGCAGCAGTAACTCCCTCCCCACAACTTCCAATCCTGCGCTTTCATGCCCCATGCCCTCTTCCTATACTGGGACTCCCCTTTGTCAGAAAAGCTCCAGACGCAACATTTCTGCAATCAGATGGGACACCAGAGGGAATAGAAGCTACTTAGGCAGTGCTCAGACTCCAGGTGTGGCTAGCACTCAAACCTCTCCCCTGCAGACCAGCCCAAAGTTGGGGAGATCAAGCACCAACAAGGGTCAGAGACTCTAAGAAGTCATTGGACAGAAACCTGAAGAGAAACCGGGGACCCCAGACTGAGCATACCACCCTTCCTGTGTCTCCTTTCCCTAAGTCTCACCACTGAATGATGACAGAGAAGTTCCCAGGCCTGGCCCAAGGTCTGATTCAACAGCATATCAACTCCATCCGCCAAGAAATAACCTATGGGCGTGGCATGAGGGGGGAGGGGCGTTAGGGTTCCCTAAGTAGCTGTATCTCCTGGAGAGAAATCTTCACCCCCTCCTTTTGCCAGGTCTTTCGCTTCCTTCAGCAAAGTTGCCAGAAATATTTGACCTCTATGGAAAGGGGTAAAGGGGACCTGGAATTATCATTGGTAGGTTGCTCCCCGACAAAACGGCCCAGCCTTCCCTGCAGACTCACCCACGGACACAGCCACCAGCACCAGGGCCCAGGATGGGTGGCCGTTAATGGGATCAGCAGCCATCTGAGGGTACAGCGACAACCTGTAGGAGGTGGGGGACCGTGGTCAGCATCGTGCAGACTCAGACCCCATTCTCCCTCTGTGCACGCTCACTCACCCATTCACACCCCCATGCCATGTCAGACTCTCGAGGTTCCGGTTCGATTTCGAAGGTGCCCGCCGGGTCTTTCAATCTCAGCTTTCCACCCCTCACCCTCACCCCGGTGCCTCCCGAATCTCTATACCCCGCACCCAAACAGCGCCCAGACCCCTGTGAGCAGGCTGTGCACCAGGGAGACATAGATGTTCCGCCACTTCCAACTGTCCTGGGCAGCAGATCCTGGCGTGGGCAGCAGCTGAAGCGTCCAATGCAGCCCCCGGAAGACTGCGAAGGAGGCGCCGGTCACAAGGAGCCCCCAGGACGCCATGGCCTGGCGGGCGGGCTAGGTCCGCTTCAGTCCCTTGGATTCCCGCACTCTCAGCTGGGACTCCTCCAAAGCCAGCTGCGGGGACTGTGAGCTGGCTTCTGGACAAGATGGGTCTTTGGCCCCCGCAGCCCACCGCGGCTTTGGAATCCGCTGTAACTTTTACAGGGCTTGACCACGCCCCCATCATTCGGCTAGGTGGCGATTGGAGCAGCCGTGGGGCCACGCCCCGGAGCCACAGCCACCGATCGCGTCCCGCCCTAGCGGGGGATTGAGGTTTGGGGGCTCCCGGCTGCCAAACCTGGCCTGGGAGCTCCGGGGGACTCTCATCATGTCGATAGAGATCTTCCCCAACGCCCTGTGTCCCAAACCCCTCCGAGCTCCAGAAATAGGTCGCTAATCTCACCTGACATTCCCACAGGCCCCGCCCCGTTGTCTTTCACCTCCTCTCCCCAGGCTAACCTCTCACCTGCTGGTCCTTCTTCCCACGGGATCCTCACCGACCTTAAGGTAGAGGCCAGCGCACACCCACTCCCAATGCTTAAAAACATCGCCACCGCCCTGCTCCGCACCAACCCCCCTCTCAGCTGTGGGGGCACCTCACTTCCTCGGAGCCACCCTTTCCACCTCCCGAGGTTTCCAGACCTTTAGCACATCTTAACAACCCGATGATTCCAACAGTCCCGTTCCCTTACACAGTACGTTCGAACGGAACAAGAACTCCTATTTTGGAGAAGCGACCCACTGGAACTCCTCCCCCCAGCCACTTTTGGGGGCCCTACAGGGGAAACTTGCTATCAGGAAGGGGAGGCGAAAGGAAACCACTCAGCACCGAAGTCTTGAAAAGCACCCCTCCCCCCAGGGCTTGGTAGGTGAATGGAATTCTCTCTTCCAATCTGAGGCGGCAAGGAGAGGTCACGCAGGGTCACCTCAATGTTGGGGCAGAATCAGAGAATAACAAAGACTTAGAGGATTCCAGAACCTTTCAGCCTGGAGAGGAAAATCTACCCTCCCCCCCTTCCCCATCTTCCATCTCCTGGAGAGTGACAGGTTTTCACTGTTTTCCTTACTCCACTCCACACCTCTTTAGCTGGCTGAGAGCCAGCAATTCAGAGCGCTGTATCCCGCACGTGGAGAGGATAGATTGCAGCTACTCCTGGAGAATGAAGTTCTCCACATTCTCACAACCCTCTTTCTCCACCAAAACCCCATTATGTCCAAAGGGTCAGGGGCACCCCTTAATTCCTCCCCACCCACCTCTCCAAGCTCTTTTAAAAAAATAACACTGATTCTTTTAAATTTTATTGTATGAAAATCATACTCAATATAGAATATTTTAAATTTACAGAAAAGCCAAAGAGGAAAATTACAATGGCTTTGTTCCACTGTCCAAAGATAACCACTATTATTAACATTTTGTCTTTTTCGTGTTTTATGTATACAAGAATATATCCACCTTTAGAAAACAAAATTGAGATCACATAATACACACTATTTTTATAACATTTTTAATATTCAAAGAGCATTTTTCTTTCCAAATGTTCTTCTACATGACTTTTAATGGCTGTGCAGTACTCCACCATCTGGATGGATATACAATGATTTACTTAAGGAATCCCCCATTGCACATTTTTATTACAGCAGAAAAGAAATGAATTCCCAATCAGACAGTTGCTTCTCATTTTCTCTACTGCAATACTCAGATGAGCATCTTGTGACTAAATCTTTAATTATTTTCTTAGGATAAATTCCCAAATGTAGAATTACTAGGTCTAAGGCGATGGAAACTTTTAGAGTATTTGAGACCTATCACCAACGTTCAGGAAGGCTGTACCAATTGTCCCCCGCTACAGGCAATCTATGGGAGTGTTATTTTCTTATTTCTTTGCCAATGCTGGTTCTTTTTTTTTTTTTTTTTAATATAGTTTGCTGAGGGAAAAATGCTTTCAGCTATATTTGTCTTTCTTTAATTACTAATGAAACACATTGTTTTTCATGGTTTTATCCATTTGAATTTCTTCTCTGAATTTCCTACTTATGTCCTTTCACAGCTGGTTCTTGCTCCCTGAGTCCACTTTATATAAAAATTAAAAGGTAAGGAGGTAGAAGTAGGAGAATGAAGCCACAGGACACTGTGATACAGTCTCCTATCTCTGAGAGAGACAGTAAGTACACTGGAGAGAAATAGTGAATGAGGCAGATGGCTGGGAGCTTGTCCTTGAAGGAGGCTGGCTGTCCTTCCTCCTCCTAGGGTGTTTCTGCCCTTTATGGGTCTCCTCTGAGGGGTGCCCAGACAGGGCCCTGTGCTCTCTAGGCCTGGTCCTTCACTGGTCTTCTGCCTACCTCTGTGTTCCCAGGCTGTTCTTCCTAATCTTTACTTCATGATGGGTCAGGATGGGTAAGGATGGCAGAGCCCTAGAACCAGGGCTGGACAGAGACCCTGTGGCCAGTGAGGCGGGGAGGGGAAGAAAGGATGGAAGCAATGTTCAGGGACAGAGCAATCTTTGTTGCAGACTCTGAATTGACTCAGTCTACCCACACCCTCCACTGCAGTCCCACACACACCTCCTGCAGCTTAGGCTGCAGGAGGATGGATTCGATGATCTACTCTCCCCTAAATCTGTTTCTCATTAACGGAGACTAGGACCCTGCTATCTCCACACCTCCTGCCCCATGACAGGACAGCTCCCTGTAGCCGCTGAATTTGGCCACCTTCAGGTAGGGCATCTGGGCCATGGTTGAACCACACCGGAACTGAGCCCCAAGAGTTAGACTGCATCAGGAGCTGGGGTGAGGGTGGTAGGCTTATACTGCTTGATGTTCCAAAGGGCATCACATCCCACAGTTCACCTCTCCTGGTTGTTGGAGGGAATTTCCTGCCTGTACAAGCCTGAGCAGTCTCACAAACTATCCTGGAAGGTAAAGTGAGGGAAGAAACAGAGAACAGCAGTTGGAACCCTATCAGGGGCTGCAGTCCTGTTTTGGGTGGCAGAGGAAGCCTGGGGCCACCTTTGCATGGTGGGATGTCAATGGAAAGAATGAGCTCCTCCTGGTCCCCTGCACTGGTATAACCTTACACCCCCTTTCTAATCCTCTCCCCCACCCTCCTTGGGTCATGGTGTTCAGGGATGGGGGGAGGGGCAATAGCTTATGTGGAAAGCTATTTTGTTCCCACCCACAGGGAGAGAAGAGCCCAGGCTCTGAGCAGTTCACAGAAGTAGGCTTCTGAGTCCCTCCTGCACACTCAATTGTGTGATTCCCCATCTCACAGGTGGAGAAGCCGAGACAAGAGGTCTAACAGTCCCACATATAGGTGATTATCACCAAATCTAGAGTCTGGGCCAGTCTAAGGAAATAGAGGGAAAGGTAAGAGCATGGGGATGACTACTCACATGGGAGTTTCAGTATGACCTTTTCCCTGAAGAAATTTACTTTGGACCTCACCTGGAAAGGCAGTAGGAAAGAAAGGGAAACAAGGAAGGAGGGCCAAGAAAGACATCTGGGTAAAGGGGTAGGCAATTTTGTTTGCTCCTGTTATCTTCCTCTTGTCACAGCTGTGTAGACCAACTAACCTTGCTTGGTCACAGCCATCTATTCCCCAAACCAACCAGGGTCTCTAATCTAAAATTGTTCTCTCTTGCTGGGCCAGTCTGGCTGAAGGCTCTCCAACTTAACAGGTTCCCTCTCCCAAAAGGTATCATCACTCCCACTGTTCGGACCTTCCCAGCCCCAGCTCTGTCACCTTCCAGATGAAGGGGAAAGCAGCTCCTTCTCCTCTTCCTCCTCCTCCTTGAAGCCAGTGGCAGAGGGCAACAGTTCTTCAACTGGCAGCTTTAGCTGGGTCAGGACATAAAGCTTGCCACTGAAGAACTACTGCGGCTCAGCCAGGTGAGGATGTGGGAGGGACAGGCTCCTAAAAGGAAAAGGAAGACAAAATGGGAAGGATCTGAACAGGGCCATGTCACAGGGACACTGTCCCACTGTCCAACAAAAGTCCAGCTCCAACAGATGCTCAACCTTGTAACAAAGTGTTCTTGGCTCTGACCTGGGCCTGCAGGAGCGGTTAACTTCAGTAAGAAGCAAGAGGCAGTTCTAAACATACTTCCTTGTGCCTCTTTCCAGAACCAAAGGCTGTAGAGACCCAGGTCTGCTCTCACCCCTCCTTGCCCCATCTATTCATGGAGGGCCCAGCCTCTTCAGCATTCAGAGAGGGCTGGACTTAGAACCCGGGACACATTGCACCAGTTGTCCAGGTACTAGGTGAGAAGTTGGACCTTAGGTCCAGAAATGTCAGTTCAGTGATCAGCCCAACTGACTTGTTCCCAGGGAGTTCAGCTGGAAGAGTTCTGGGGGCCCACATCTGGGGAAGAGTGAGGAAGGGAGGTCCAGAGTTTGGAAGGTCAGCAGAGGCTCCAGGGACTGCAAGGAGAGGACAGGGGACCAAAGGCTGGAGGGGAGGGAGGTATGGGTAGGGTGGATGGGCAGCTTCCCCAAGACTCTTAAATGCCAGGCATTCCGCTTGCGCATTCCGGGTACATCTGGTATGAATTCCAGGCTGTCTGCCGGCCCCTCCATGTCTGAACTTTGTTCCAAGTTCCAAGCCCCGCCCCCGCAGTTCCAACGCATGAATCAGCAGGAAAAGCCGGGCCCTGCAGCATGGCCCAGGGAGGGGGCTGGGGGCGTGGCAGGCTTGAGGGCCTAGAGCTGGGGAGGCCTGGTCTGTGCTGACACTCAGTCCAAGGGCATGGCCCATGCCAGTGTCAGGAGCCAAGGCAGTCTTGCCTTGAGACTTCTATACTCAGAGGGTAAGAAAGATTAGAGTGGGGGGTGGGAGGTTTTCAAATTACAAAAACCCTCTTGGGGAGGCATGAACTTTGTGGTATCTTCCTTCCCCCAGGTGACCAGTGCAATTCCTTCCCACTCTCCTCTGTCTGAGCCAGCTCTGTTCAGCCCATAGGACTCAAGGGCTGCTTAGAGTCTGTGCCAAGCAGGTGCCCTTGGCT